TTTTGTTTTCTGTTATTTTGAAAATGTAAATGATGGAAATAAAATCTAACTTTTGTTGACATATTATAAGAATGTCTAATCTGTAATTTGATGCCTTTTGTAGATTTTTCCATCTTTCCTTGGCTTCTTTATGCACATTAATACAAATTTTTAGCTGGGGTGCCCAAACTTTCGATCCCCACTGTAGTTGTCTGGCTCCTTTTTAAGTCACAATAAACAGAATCATCACCCAAATTGCCTTGATCAAAAGTTTACATACCCAGGAATGTTTAGCCTTGATACAGACACACAAGGTGACACACACAGGTTAAAATGGCAATTAAAAAGGTTAATTTTCTACATCTGTGTCTTTTTAAATTGCCTGTGTAAAAATAGTCAATGAGTTTGTTAGCTCTCACGTGGATGCACTGAGCAGGCTAGATACTGAGCCATGGGGAGCATAAAAGAACTGTCAAAAGACCTGCATAACAAGGTAATGGAACGTTAAAAAGATGGAAAGTGATATAAAAAACATATCCAAAACCTTGATTATGCCAGTCAGTACTGTTCAATCAAGTATTAAGAAGTGGAAAATTCGGAGATCTCTTGGTTAGCTATACTACCTGCAAGAATTTGGGGACTCAGGACCACTATTACAAAAGACTGCACACAGTCATTGATGCTAAAGGGGGCAATATGCAGTATTAAGAACTAAGGGTATGCAGACTTTTAAACAGGGGTCAGTTTATTTGTTTACATGTTTTGTTTTATGATTGTGCCATTCTGTTATGACCTACAGTTTAATATGAATCCCATAACAAATAAAAAGAAAATGTGTTTTGCCTGCTCACTCATGTTTTCTTAAAAAAATAGTACTGTATATTACCAATTCACAAAGGGTATGAAAATGTTTCAGCACAACTGTATTTGTATTTCTTCACATTTAAAACCTCATTTGCTTGTTCAAACTCTTTCACATTTACTGGTTTCAGAAAATATATTTCACAAGCACATTAAAAATCATGCCTAACTGGAAAGAAATACTTTAACTTTGGTTAATATTGTATAGCTGCAAAAGCAGACTATAACATAGAGACAAAGGTCTCCAGTTCAAGACTGCTTACACAGAATGTCACAAAAATATATAATCCAAAAATAACATGTTTTACTTTCATCACAAGTATCCATGATATTTGTAAAAACATGGTGCACACGAGAAATCTGGTCTGACCATACTAAACTTGGATGATTTGGGTCATTATACATTAAGGGTGTCTGCTCCAAAACTGGAAAACTTCAAAATGGTTTTTACCTCTGGTATCTTAGTGCTGATGTTTTTCTGCCAGGGACTGAGTGCTTTTGTTGCTATTGGTTCATAACTTTTGTCAATGTAAAGATAAGTAGAGGGTTAACAAAAAGGTCTATTTAGAAATGTTTCCTCACAAAATTCATACCAGTTTCGCCCAAGAATCACACATTTTTCTAACTGAATCCAGTTAGAGAAATGTGTGAATCCTGGGAGAAAGATGTGTAAAAACATCTATAATCTTATCAGACCCCCTTCTGAGGCGATGTCACCCTGGGCTAGATGAGGATTGAGAAATGGGAGCTGGTAAGTCAAAAAAACAGGTACTCGCTCTCAAGAAAAAAAAAATGATTTTGTTAGACGCTGGGGATAGGAAAATTATGAGGGGAACTCAGTTTTCAACTGTAAGTCCACTTTAAAAAAGGAGAAGTACAGCCAAAGCACTTTTGGTTGTAGTTCTCCTGTGGATCACAGGAGTGCAGTTTGTTCTGCACTCCTGTGGCTTGTTTTCAGCTGGTCCAGGTTGGGGAAAGATCCTGACTTCAAAGTCGGGATCCACTCCACAGTCTGGAGCGGCACCTATCTCAGCCCCTTAGCGAGCTGCTGAGAGCCTGAGCCAGCCACTCCCTCTCTGTCCACAGCCTAGCACTCCAGTGAGCGCTGGGGGGGGCGGTGTTTTAGAGCAGACAGTGGTGACTGACAGTCCCGCTCTCTGCCCAGAGCAGCAGTGAGAACTTAGCGATCAGTGAGCCGGGAGGGGGGGGGGGGGGGGGGGGGGGGTCAGATGCAGAATTGGACCGATGCTCCATCCACCTAGGTAAGTATATTATGGGGAAAACAACAAACTCCATACTTCTCTTTGAAGGTTACGGTTGGGTTTTAGAGGGTTAAGCATTAGAGTTCAAGATAAGTGTGTTGGGTAAAGCTGGGTACACGTGGATCAAAGTTCGGTCAGTTCCACAGGGAGTGGCCGAATTTCAATCTGTGTGTGGCCCTCCCTGTTAGAGGAAAGCTCATTTTCGAACAGAACTGCTGGAAAACCTGCTTGAAGTAGCAGCTTGTAGCCTATTGGCTGCAAGTCTGATCAATGTTTTCTGACAGTGAGATATTCCCTGCTGTCAGAATACAATGTCCCCGCAGGGGGAGGGTTAGGAGGAGGCTCCTGCGTCCACCTCTCGTGTGGATGCAGGAATCGGTTAGCTTTTTTTTCTCCAATCACCCTCTGGCTGAAAAAAAAAATAACCCTGTGTACACAGCTTTAGTTTGAAGAGTGATCGCAGAGAGGTAACAAAGTGCTGGCTTCATGTTAATGTTAAAAAGTTAACTTTCAGGTTTAAAGGTTAACAATGCTTGATTCGAAGTCTCTGTTAGGAGTTAAGTAAGGATAAGTCCGCTTTTTGGAGCATGTTACATGTAACATCTATATTTAGGGTGTAACGTGCAACATGCTCCAGTCCTGCCCCCTGCACCCCAATTCCCCACCAATCCTCTACCCCAGCAGCTGTCACAATTGGGAAAAAAAAAAAAAAAGGCACAGCTGCACCTACACAGCCATGTAATTAATTTACAGGAATCTGTGATTGAATACACAAGTCCTGTCTGCCACCGTGACAGAGATTGTAGTTATTAATGGACCGCAAATGTGCCGATCAGAACATTTGTAGTCCATTCACACAACCTACAGCTCTTCATACAAAAGGAATGGGCAACAGAGCTGCAAGAAACGGGGTGGAGTCACTAAAACTGGAGTATACAGAATCAAGTGCAACTGTGCATAGAAGTCAGTCAGCTTCTAGGTTTTATTGTCAAAGCTTAATTTAACAAGCTGAAGTTGGAAGCTGATTGGTTACTACAGCTGCCCCAGATTGTGTGCTCCAGTTTTAGTAAACCCCACTAATGTGTGCAAGAGCCTGACACTGCACCCACAATCCACTGATCACACTGGCAATGCTCTGCAGGCTCCAGCAAACATATGTGCATTTATTATTTTTTTAAAAAAAAAGGTAGAAGGGAACTTATGCAGGGCCATTTTTCGGGGGTTTTGGCACATTTTTTTTTTTTATCGGTAAAGTTGAAAAAAAAAAAAAAAAAAACAGCTGATTTTGCTGATCGGCCGATTTTCCCGGCAATAATGGGCAAATCGGCCGATCGTTTTACCGATAAAAAATCTGTGCATGAGCAGTGACCTGCAAGAAGAAGAAAAAGAATAAGAATTACAGTCTGCTATTATATTTGACATGAAAAAGTATTGCGGTTGCAACAATGTATCTATTTGTATCCGAATAAAAACATCTGTATCCGAAATGGATACAAATGGATACATTGTTGCAACCGCAATACTTTTTCATGTCAAATATAATAGCTGATCTCTCTGCAAGGGACAGAAGTAATTAAATGCCGGCCGTAGACGGGACGAAAATCGGACGATTTTGTTACCATTGGTGGTAACGTTGGATTATTGAACAAACGATTTTTTTTTTTTTTTTTTTTTTTTTTTTTAAAAGGACAGTTTTTAACCCGTGTATGGCCTGCATTAGACTTTAAGCTTTAGGCTGGATTCACACTGTTGAGTAACATGTCAAACACATGTTACCATGATGCATGGCAATGGTTACATTTATCTGCTAATTCCCTCTAGCCATCTCTAGATCTGTTACATTGTATCTTATTACAGGGACACATGTATTTTTTATGCTCTTCAGCTCCATCCAGGGGCTATGATGCAGTATTTTACTATTGCAAATAAAAGAACATTTGTTCAGAAGAGAAAATATCCAAAAAAAACATAAATTTTTGCTCAGTTCTCACAAAACAACTGTACATGCAGATTCCCTGGATATGGCTATGCAAATTTTTTTATAAATAGACCCCCTACGTGTGAAGGGTAGCCCAAAGATTCACATTAAGGTTAAGGGTCAGGGTAGTAAGGGCCTTTTTCTCCCTCTTTAAAACTTGTTTTAGTTACCAAAAGCCATACCCCCAATTCTTAGTGTAAATGAATGTACTATAAAATTCCTATTGTCTGCTCATGGCTAATATTTGTTATAATCCGTGTCCAGTTGTACAAAGTTTTAAGCCAGCCATAGATGGTATGAATCTAGGCTATTCAGTAGGAACCGGCCAAGGTTTGAACCATGTATGGGCAGGCTGAATGTACCCAAGTTGATCGATCAATCAACCTGGGTACAACTAGCCTGCCGTATTTTACATGAGATTATTGCTAGCAACTAACAAAGCCACTTGCAGTAATCACTGGAACCATCCCCAGCGGGGAGAACACAATGGCTCTGCGGGAGGGATTCCCCCATCAACATTGACTGTGATGTGGGAAACAAGCGATTTTCCCATCCATCTATAGCTGGCTTAGCTGAATGGTCCTAATATATGTATGCTTGCCCATTTTTGTAATCTCTTATATTTCACTTTAATAAATTAGGAAGTAGACCAGTAAAGGCTTTAAGACGACACTTTTCCTTTTCTCGATTCATTGCAACACGGGTTATTTACAATCTTTTTTCTCGATATTCTCTTTTGCTTATTGTGCTTACTGACTGTAACCCAAACTGATTCTACTGCCTCATCTGCGATCTGTAAAGCTTTATTACGGAGAATATATATTATAAATGATTATGTACCCAGAAGGTATAACCTATAACCATATCTATTGCCTACTGCAAGTTGGGGTCAAAGCAATGTTGGCTTGCATGCAAAATACCTGACTGTATGAAGACGTGTTCCACTGATAACATAGCTGCCACTGGAAGAAGCAGGTCTTCACACCCCGCAGAGGTAGCTTTAATCACAGCACAAGCGAGATTTGGCGATAATGGAAACTCTATCAAGAAATGTCCTAATCTTGTGACATTACCACTCCTTAAAAAAAGAAAAACAATAAAATATACATAGCTCATCATACAATTTTTTTTTTACAAAATTATATACTGAAGCCCAACACCAGCTATTACATTTTTAGTTTTGTAAGGGAGAAAAATCCCTTTTGGGTTCTTTTCATCACTTTTTTTTTCCAATGTCCTGGGTATTTTATGGGTGCCACAGAGAAGGATCCTTGCTCCCTATGCGGAAGAGAAGATGATCTCTAAAAATCTGACATATCCTGCAGAGTCAGAGCTAGAGCTCTCCAATCAGCAAAGCCCATGCTCTCTACTGACTGGAGATCTCTACCTCTCACTCAGCAAGGGCCATATCAGATGTCTGCAGAGAGACCACTACTTGCTCATTGAGAGCCGGTGTCTTTCTGTGCAGGATACTGGAATGGGACAGGCTTTTTTATTCAGTAAAACATGTTTGTTTGTTTTTTCACTTAAAAGTGTGTAGCACTGCTCCAGCAGGAGCCACTTGGTTTGATGGCTCTCTCTTCTGCCAAGTCACTTTATGCTGCTCAGTCCCCACTGACACACCTGTGCAACTAAACATTAGTATGCTTCCACTCTATAATAATACACTGAAAATGGGCCACAAGCAACTTGGTAGTAGATGAATTAGATGTATTATGGCAAGGCAAGTTAGAAAATGCATGAATCAGTAAACATGAAATTGAACACATTTAAAGATGCTATTACTTGTTAGGGTGAACACTGGTCTATAGTATGGCAATTAACTAACTGCAATAAATGACCAAATTTCAAAAAGTATGAACAGTGGGCAATATAATGACATTTACTAACACAAATTGTTATCTCCAAGAGTGGGTGTAAAGTACCTGGCATCTTAATTAGCAGATTTAAGCTGGCCAATGTTGGAGCCCGTGTGTATGGTGGTGCACATGTAACAGTCTCTTTAAACTGTATGCAGAGGATGACTGCAGGGCTGCTAAGTAATGGTGAGTCTCTAGTAGCATTACCTGCAGGCAACTAAGGGACAAGCACAGTTGGTTCTGCTCACCACTCCTGGTACACAACGGATCTGGTACAGAATGCTTGGCAGTCCGTTTTCCTCTGAAATCAGGCCCGGTATCTCAGTCCTCATGAACAGGTCCTCACAAGGCTCAGTGTCTCGCTCTGGTCCTTAAATGTTCTCTCCTTTGGCTCTAACAAACAGCAAGGATGCCCAGCTCCAGTCCCCACTGCACGGTCTGCCCTTATTGTATTTCAAAGCCCAGGAAAAGTTGTTTCTCCTTTCCATTGTGGCAGGGAATTAAGGGCATTGTAGTTTGCAGTCTCTAGCCTCCATTGCACAGCACTCTTTTTTTAGACTACACATCCTATGATCCTCTGCAGCTGCACAGCAAGTTCTCTCTGCCACTGTTGACTGGCTTAAGCTGCTGCTGCCAGAAGGGAGGAGGAGCAAGGGGGATTTCACTGCACTCACAGCCAGAAGCACAGCAGGGGAAAGTCTGGCTGGAAAAAGCACAGCCCGGCATTTCTCTCAGTTGGCCTTACAATGGTGGGGGGGGGGGGGGGGGCTGAAGGAGGAGACCAGGCACCAGTGGGGGTGGGGAAGATAGGAGGAGAGGGGGGCGCAGACAAGCACAGCCTGCTTCTCCAGCAGCAAGTCGAGCAGGCTAGGTGAATTTAGCCTTTTATTTTGTGAGTGCATATTTTACCATTATCAAGATTCCTTTACCGTGAGATAATATACTAGGTTTTTGCGACCGTCTCTTTTCTATTTTGCTTTTACCAGTATATGCAATCAATCATAGATCATTGTACTTTGTATGTTATCACTTCTTTCTTCACTGGCTTGCTTAGTAAAGGCAATATATACCATATACAGCTGGCTGACTTAAAACACACCTTAGGACCAGTGTCAACAGGCAAATATAGCATTCTTTTGATATCAAGTTGAGATGCATCTGAAATAATTTAGAATTCATTGCAGGGGCACTTGACCTGCATTTAACCTGCTTCAGCTGCTTTTGCATTTCCACATACTTGTATAAAGAAATAAACTGTTCTGAAGTGAATAAAAGGCCATAAAAACTGTCCCTTAATCTGGCCAAACATACAAGTGAGCAGGCAAAACACATTAAATTATTTTGGGATTCATATTCAACTGTAGGTCACACAGAATGGCATAAAATAAAAGATGGCAACAAGTAAACAAATAAAATGACTGCAGTTCAAATGCCTACATACCCTTAGTCCTTAATACTGTATATTGCCCCCTTTAGCATCAACGACAACGTAAAGTAATTTTGTAATAGTTGTCTATGTGGAATGAAATCTTGCAGGTGGTGTAGCTGCCTATTTGTCTTGCCAAAATGCCTCCAGGTCATGCAAAGTCTTTGGTCGTCTTGCATGGACAAAACGTTTGAGATCTTCCCAGAGTGGCTTGATGATATTTAAGGTCAGGAGACTATGATGGCCACTCCATAACCTTCACCTTTTTCTGCTGTAACCCCTGGAGGGTCAACTTGGCCTTGTGCTTAGGATTATTGTTGTGCTGGAAAATCCAAGAGCATCCCATGTTCAGCTTTCGTAAAGAAGAATGCAAATTGTCTGCCAGTATTTTCTGATAACCTGCTGTATTCATCTTGCAAATTTCACACAATTCTCCAAACCTTTGACGCTCACACCCCCCCAAAACATCCATAAGCCACCACCATGCTTCACAGTGGGGGTGGTATTCTTGTCACTATAGACCTTGCTGACCCCTCTTCAAACATAGCGCTTATGGTTGGGACCATAAAAACTATTTTGGTCTTGTCACACCAGATTACAGTGTGCTAGAAGCTCGACAATGCAGCTAATTTTTGTTCAAGTATTGTCGCATTGTGCTCCTTGAAACAACCACACCATCTTTTTCCAGAGCAGCCTGCATTTCTTCTGGAGTTATCTGTGGTGTTTTCTTTGTATCCCAAACAATTCTTCTGGGAGTTGTAGCTGCAATCTTTCTTGGTCTACCTGACCTTTGTTTGGTCTCAAGAGATCCCCAAATTTTCCACTTCTTAATAAGTGATTGAACAGTACTGACTGGCAAACTCAAGGCTTTGGATATCTTTTTAAAACTTTTCCCATCTTTATAAAGTTCCATTACCTTGTTACGCAGGCCTTTTGACAGTTTTTATGCTTTCAAGGCTCAGTACCAAGCCTGCTCAGTGCATCCACATGAGAGCTAACAAACTCATCAATTATTTATACACCGGCAATTTAAAAAGCCACAGATGTAGGAAATTAACCTTTAATTGCCATTTTAACCTATGTGTGTCACCTTGTGTGTCTGTACCAAGACCAAACATTCTAGAGTATGTAAACTTTTGATCAAACTTTTGATTTCTGTTATTATGATTTGAAAAATGAGCCAAAACAACAATGTGATAATTAATGGCTTCACATGATCGCTATGATTGACTAAGAGACAGTTTTTGGCATTTTCAATATCATGTCAAAATTTCACGATTTCTGCCAGGGTAAACAAATTTGGAACACCTGTATTACAATCTGATTGTGCAAGCTCCTTTAAAGTCCATGATGATTGACTTGTGTTCACATACAACAGAAGCCTGTTGAAATCAGTAGACATAGGCCCTTAGATATGCAAACAACCCTGCAGTGTGAGGTCCTACCCAATGGATATAATATAAGTGGGTTGTTTAGGTGGACCTTCAGGCAATATAATTCTTGCTGCTAAAAGAGCTTGAGCAATATGAATGTTATGTATGTGGAAAGCTATTGAATTATTAAAAGGTGACCTGTGATGAGAGAATTGTGTAGAAAGCCATTGCCGATCTCTCCTTCTGGAAATATCAGCTTTATAGCTGTCATGCTGATCCAATAACTTCAGAAATGTCATTGACCTATAACAGATATGCACATCTACAGCTTTAATCCCACTTGCTGCAAGTTTAAGAACCTAACATCTTTTACCAGGTGGTAAGAGATGGTAGTCCACATACACTATATTGCCAAAAGTACTGGGACGCCTGCCTTTACACGCACATGAACTTTAATGATATCCCAGTCTTAGTCCGTAGGGTTCAATATTGAGTTGGCCCACCCTTTGCAGCTTTAACAGCTTCAACTCTTCTGGGAAGGCTGTCCACAAGGTTTAGGAGTGTGTCTATGGGAATGTTTGACCAATCTTCTAGAAGCACTTTTGTGAGGTCAGGCACTGATGTTGGATGAGAAGGCCTGGCTCACAGTCTCCACTCCAATTCATCCCAAAGGTATTGGGTTGAGGACAGGACTCTGTGCAGGCTAGTCAAGTTCCTCCACCCCAATCTCGCTCATCCAAGTCTTTATGGACCTTGCACTGTGCACTGGTGCACAGTCATGTTGGAACAGGAAGGGGCCATCCCCAAACTGTTCCCACAAAGTTGGGAGCATGAAATCATCTAAAATGTCTTGGTATGCTGACGCCTTAAGACGTCCCTTCACTGAAACTAAGGGGCCAAGCTCAACCCCTGAAAAACAACTTTCCACACCATAATCCCCCCTCCACCAAAAACTTTACTCTTGGCACAATGCAGTCAGGTAAGTACCATTCTCCTTGCAACTGCCAAACCCAGACATGTCCAACCTAGACAGAGAAGCATGATTCGTCACTCCAGAGAACACGTCTCCATTGCTCTAGAGTCCAGTGGTGGCATGCTTTACACCACTGCATCTGACACTTTGCATTACACTTGGTGATGTAAGGCTTGGATGCAGCTGCTCGGCCATGGAAACCCCTTCCATGAAACTCTGTACGCACTACTGTTGTACTAATCTGAAGGCCACACGAAGTTTGGAGGTCTTTAGCCACTAACCCTACAGACAGTTAGCAACTTCTGGGCACTGTGTGCTTCATCATGAGCTGACCCCGCTCTGTCATTTTATGTGGCCTACCACTTCGTGGCTGAGTTGCTGTTGTTCCCAGTTGCTTCTACTTTGTTATAATACCACTAACAGTTAATCGTGGAATATTTTGTAGCA